CAGCCCAGGCGCTCTGACCTGCACCTCAAACAGCTCCTGGGTAATAACTTCCTTCAGGCGAGAAGCAGAACAGATCAACAGAACCACATTGTTTGTTGAATAGCCCCTTAAAATACTTTTTATTAAAATAATTAAATTTAAATTGTCTATATGCATTGAGAAGAGCATTTAGTTCTAAATGTGCTGTTCACTTTAAAAATGCATGGGAAGGGAGGAATGTGTAAATAACAGAGCGTAGCTACTGACTGCCCCCCTTACTCGTGTATGCAGAACTTGCTGATTATCTACTGCCTTATTCATTAAATACTCTATGCATTTTTTGGCATCAGGTTCATTTCCTTCATGTGCGTAAAATGTACTAAGCCCATGTAAAAAACATAGCTCAAAGTCTTTCCCCGAGACAGGATTCCTGGGCATGTGCAGATTTCCATCTGCTTACCTAGGATTCCTCTGGCCCTCCTGGGAGGGGTTATTAGAGCAGTGGCTCCAGCATCCCCTGGTCCAAGGGCAACATCACTGAGTGAATAATGTCCTTCAGGCAGCATATTATTTTGTCCTGCATGTCAGTTTAAGCAGTATTGTGTCCCTGGAAAGCAAAGCGTAGGAACGCTGAGCAATGTCAAGTGTGTGCAATATATTGACCCACAGCCTGGGGTTAGAGGCCACTACAGTTCCCAAAGAATTTAAAATTAAGCTACCAGCCTTGTTCAGTCATGTGGGATTTAATGAACAAACATTATTGCACAAAACAAGACAAGCATATAAAAACAATGAATATTTTGCTTTCTTGTAGCTCCTGTAGCTCCTTTAAACTGCCTAGAAACAGCCCAATTCTCTGTCCCACTGGTCACACACTCTTTGGAAGTGAGAATCCCAGGGCATGTATCCAGCCTGATGGTCACTACCAAATCACAACTGCACAAAGCAGCAGTAGTTGTGGGAACTGCCTATGATTCATGTCCCGCATCTCTACCATCAATGGACATCCCTTTTTTAGTTAGCATTTATTCTTAAGCATTTGAGCCAATTTGTGAATAGTCCTTTTGATTTCAGTTACACTTGCTGTGTGATGGGCAGATATTAATACCAAATTCCTCAATAAGGCAGCAGCAAACAGAAATACATTTTTAGGGAATGTACATATTCTGTATGTACAGGATAATGTCTGTATATTAAGTGAAGGAGATGTACCCCCACCTTGAAAATGTATTTTTTTGTAAAACTGGGCCACTCAAGGACACTCCTGACCACACTTCGTTCAAGCAAATCCCCTTTTTGTTTCAAAAAGACTTTGTGAGTATGAACATATACCACATTCTTATTTAAAACAAACCCACAAACCTGTTCTCCCATTGATTTTAATATTTACATTTTCAAACTTATAGAAGTTAAGAAGGAATATATTTTAATAAAAAAGTTTTCATTGTTTCTACAGCATAGGTTTTGCTTTCATGGGATTATGCTAATTTAGCAAACCCATGAATGAAGAGAAGCTGATGTCTACATTTTAAACTGCTTAGGAACATTGTTTTGCAAATGCATTGTGTTCTGAAAATCAAACCAGTCCTTGGGGAGGACTTTCATTTGCATAAATGCTGCATTTCTTTTATGTATCATTTTTAATCTTAAAAAAATTCCTTACCATCTTTGGAAGTTTTCTTTAGAAAGTCTTTATGTCATCGTCCAAACGTAATCATCATCTATTAACATCGTAGTTAAGGAGAAGTATACATCATGAATCTGTTTCTCTTGGAAAAATAAAGAAATTCTAATCTATGTAACAAACTATTTCAACGTTGTTAAAAAATTAAGAAACAGCCCTCAATATTAGTTATGTAATTCCAGCAGAAACAGGCGTATCTTCTGAATCTAAGCTGGTTCAGAGATTTGAGTCTCTGATAAGTTTTATTACAGTATAGTCTTAGAGTAGCTCATTTTTGTGAACTAACGTTCCACAAGATGGTTAAACTACTGTCATATTACTAAGGAACCCCCAGTCCTATTTTTTTGTGGTCCTTATATTTATTGCAATTTTCTGTGGTATACCAGTTGACACAATGACTATACATAATGTATTTGTTGATACCAAGACAGACTTCTCATAGGTGTAGGTCTGATATTAGAGAAATGCTGTGCCACTGATTTAAACAGTTCCATTACCAAACCTCACACTAAAAAAAAAAAAAAAAAAAAAAAAAAAAAAAAAAAAAAAAAAAAAAAAAAAAAAAAAAAAGTAAGGTTTTTTGTAGAAATGCTCATGGCACACAAATTTATGGTAAATATTCATTTATTAATATTGCAGAATCATGGAATGGTTGGGTTGGAAGAGACCTCTGGAGAACATCTAGTCCAGCCCCTCTGCTAAAGCAGGCTCACCTAGAGCAGGTTGCACAGGATCACAGACAAGTGGGGTTTGAATGTCTCCTGGCAAGGAGACCACTGGGTTTCAGTTTGTGTCCATTGTCCCTTGTCCTGTCACTGGGCACCACTGGAAAGAGTCTGGTCTCATCTTCTTGACACCTGTCCTTAAGATATCTGTATGCATTGATAAAATCCCCTTTCAGTTGCCTCTTCTCCAGGGCAAACAGGCCCAGATCACCTATAGCTCATATACGGCCTATATTCTTCTTTAATCAATGTCCAAGATTGCCTGCATAGTGATTTGAATTCACTGAGACCAGTCAGAGTCTTTGACTTACTGAAATAGAGTTTGAATTACGCTCTTGAATTAGGTGGAACAACAGGGCAGAAACAAAAACCTATATACAATTACACTGTAAATACATCAAACCAACTATATGGAACAACTGCCCCCCAAAGCCCTGAATTCTTAAACATGAAAATTTCATTTCAAAAATCCATATA